TTTTAAAGTTGTTCACTTAACTTTAACTTAACTTAGTTAAAAAGAAAATCAACTTACCCAATCACGATAATTATATATAACTGTGTATATAACTGTATATATAATTATATCTGATTAGATATGAAATATTTTTCCTCGAGTTAGCTAAATAAGAGTTTCAATTTAATATATTATATATAGTATTATATAATACGGATGAGTTTTTAAACTTTTTATGATTTAAGAAAGATTAGTACATAAAAAAGGATTAAATTAGAGACAATAATGAATTATATATACTCAGGAAAAAATGTTATATATATATATATAATTATTTTATATATAATTATACATAATTATACACAAAATATGTCAATTTTTACAATATAACTATATATAATTTTATACAATTATATATAATTAACAATTCCTTCACGTTGAATTATACATATGTATTATATACTTACTAATCAGCTAGTTACCAATTAAGTTAATCGAAGTTCAAGCAAATCCATTCTACGAATCAAGATTAGCTTATATACATTCTGTTTACTTTTTACCTTCTAGTTCTTAAATTTAGAAAAAGATGAAATTAAGTTAAACCGAGATCAAAATTAATTTATTGATAGAAATGAATATAAGAGAAATAATTTTTCTTTAGTCTCTTATTCCTTATAATAGACTCTCATTAATTCTTTTCAATATTATTTAAAATAAATAAATTAAATAAGATGCGTCAAGTGGACCACACCCCATGGTGGAAGATTGCACTATATATGCTACATCCTAGAATCAGAAAAAAATAAATTCAAATTAAGATTAAATCTAATTTAATTTGGTATAAACTAGTAGTTATTCTAAATTCATAGAAATACACGCATATATGAATTGATCGAAATAATCTGTAATCGCATATTTTTTTATTCTGTCTTCAGTGATTCGTCTCCTGAACCTGTTGAAAAGGAAAAAACGGAGCGTTCGAAGGTGCAGAAAGTGCAACGAAGAACGGAGCTTCACCACGACCGGTTTCTCGCGCTCCTCATCTCCTCTATCCCTCAATTCCCTCGTCGCCGAGCGACGTCCAATTCGGTTTGTACCGAGTCAGGAAGTCACTCGTACTGTCTCGGCCCGCGAGACGACACGAAGGTGGACAACACTCTGTAGGAGTTACCTCGGAACAGTGCATAACGATACCAGGACATGGAAATATAAGATTATTCGCTTTGTTCAGGTCTGACCACCGGCGCTACACCTCGCACGTCCGAAACAGTCCGGAATGAAACCTGTGTGGATTCGAGTGTTGTAAAGTATAAGGAGAGGGAAATTTGCGACGAGGAAAACGAGGTGGAAAATTGACCGACCCGATGAGTCGTTCGCCCGGACGAATCTGGATCCATCTGCACTCCTTGCACTTCCTGTGTTCGAAGTGATTCGGAGTGAAATAAAGAAACGTGTTCCCTGGAACGAGAAAAAGAGGAGAAATGATTACTCGATCTCTAATCGGACGATTGTGTAATATCGATGTAATTGTGTCACATCGCGGTTAATCGCGATTTTATCTGACTTGATTGTTTCTATTGTTGCTTGCGCTGAGTACAGTTGATACGACTATTATTGCAGTTTGAAAGGAATTAAGTAGGACGGCGTTTTTACTGTCGCGTGCAGATCGACGTGACACGAAAACAATTCGAGAATAATAGCTTTTTAATTGCTTTAATCTTTTAATTGATAGATTAGATACGACCGATAGTATCGATTATATGACTTAAAACAGCTTAACGTACAAGTATGATGATTATCGTGATTCGCGGGTGATCACTCTCCCGTATCTTATCGAAAATCGAATCAAGATTACGTATCTAACGTAATTGCGCTACTATTGTTACCGAGGAGATTACGGAAAAGATAACAAAAACAGCGCGCGTGCGGTTACACACACACACACCTGACTTCCTAATTTTTATTCCTCGGCATCGTGCGACGGTGCAACAGCACTGACGGCGAGGCGGGCGAAAGGGGACGTCGGGGGTCAAATGGGAACCAATGGGATCTTTTCTTCTGCTTACCGTGTCTGTCCGTGGACTCCGCGGTACGCGCCTGCACAACTTCCGCGGCGCGCGATGTTCCGATGAGCCGAGTTGTTATTTCACGCGGACGAGGTAAATGGAGAGGCGCCAAATGCGACGTGATCAGGCAGTCATCGCGGCCGAAAGGTGAGCATTTTGTTCACGCATCTTGTGCTTGTTCTTCTGGGATATTACTGCAAAACGTGACAGGTGAACGTGACATAGCTCGACCGTGGAATCAGCGATCAGGTCGATCCTCGCTTTTAGTCGAGAAGCACTGTTCTTGCTTAGATCACGTATAGTTTTGACGTTGCGAGATGTACGCTCGAAATTCGCGAATTATTATTAGACCACGTTCACCTGACTGATAGTCCCCCTGGGTCGCGTTCAAAGACACTCCAAGTGACTCAGAATATCATTTTATCGTTGTTTAACAGTCGGTGAACAACAAGGATAAAATGATACTCAAAGGTAATTGAATGTTTTCAAATGCAGTCTTGATATGTCAAGGACGAGGCTATTGTTCCTCAATGAGAAAACGTGATGAAATAACAAGGGAATAATATATAATGTCATTATGGCTTTCCATAATTAAGAAAGTATTGACAGTAATTAGGAATGCTTATGCTTGTGATACGAAGGAAAGAATCAAAAGGAGAAGGCTCTATGGCTGATTCTATTACCATTTAAATCTTTTTAAATGTTTGAAATTGAGGCAAGATGGATGGTATTTATGCTGCTGCATACATAACTGGTTATTGATAAGACTGGTAAGGTACTGCCAACCAATGGTATTCACGAGTATAATAGTTAGCATATCTTTTTTAATGGCCTTTGTTATGGCAGTTGTACCAGTGGTGGAAGTTATATCAGTGAAATCTCAAACGCACTTTAATAGATATGGCGTTTTTGTCTGTATTCAGCCTACATCTCAGACAAAAATGTTACTTTTTTACAAATAAATTAAAACTTAGGCGAGATAGATATTCTATATAACGAAATCTACAATACATGCATGTTGATAAGCAATGAATTCTGTGAAATTTATTATCAATTTAGTATCGATTTTTAAGAGATATATTAAGACTCAAGATAAATCATAATCAATTACAAACACACATTGTGTTTTAAAGCTGATAACATTCTCGTGGAACTTTTAATGGAACTATTAATCCACATGCAATTGTACCTTATATACAGAAACGTTTCTTATTTGCATGTTTAGATTGTTCCATATATTTCAATTTTTGTATTAATAATATTTAATACTTTTTGGAGAATCAATATAAGATATATTCTTTCTCTGTATAGATGGAAAGATCACGACAACTGCCCAAGGATTTACCTGCAATCATTGTCAACAGTAATGGCAGTGTTAAAGGCAAGGCATCTTTTGTTCGACGATTGGCAATAGGATTTGTAATTCTGGCCATATTAGGCCTCTTATATGTGCCAGCGTACCACTCCGCTCAGAGCCCATTTTTAAACTTAGGTGAAACTCCATCCCCTGTAGAACCTCTTGGCAGTTCACGCTTCGTAGCATCTATGGGTATGTATTTACATTCTTTACAATAATATAATTTTGGAAAGCTTTAAGAATATCTATATAGTTATACCTATATAATTATATAAATACTTATTAAATAGTATAATCATAAAAACATTTTAAATTTAGAAATTATACAATAAGTAGGAAAGAGACAAATAATACTGTGTGTCTTTCAATAAGCGATATAAATGACACAATGGATCCAAGGATTACATCCTTGTTGTTTGCCAATGTTAAACAAAGATGATATGATCACTGTGTTACACTGTCCCTTGTTGAAAGGCACACATTACAATCTAACAACATTTTTAAATATGATGCAATGTAAACATGGTTTAGTAATATAATTTAGAATAATGTTGAACAATATTTTATATCTTATGATACAATAATATTTAAAGAATAACATTTACAGCACAATTGCCTGGATGGTCATATAATACATCAAGAGATCTCTGTGCTTATATTCATCCGGAGAATAACACATCGATTCTCAATCCTACCGGCATCTGTTCATTACCGCCATATCTGCTTATAATTATATGCTCGGCAGTCGCAAATCAGGAGGCCCGTACTGCTATTAGAAGTACATGGGCCAATAAATATAACTTAGATAATTTGTACAATTCTACAGTAAAAATAGCGTTTCTATTAGGAAAAAGTGACAATGATACACTCAATGTAAGTATACTTTATGACGTTATTATTATAATAGCGTTATTACAAAGAAAATTACTTTTGCAGCATATTCCTAAATTTATTGTTTTTTTTTTTCTAGAACTTGATTGTTGAGGAGAGTTCTCAGTATAATGACATTGTGCAAGAACGCTTCTTTGATACATATAACAATTTGACACTGAAGTCGGTCATGATGCTGAAATGGGTAACATCGAATTGTGATCAAGCTAAATACCTCATGAAAACGGACGATGACATGTTCGTAAACATTCCCTTGCTTCTGCAAACGCTACGTTTGAGAACACAAACGGAGACTCTTCTAGGTTCCCTCATTTGTAGTGCTAAACCAATATTAGATCCTAAAAACAAATGGCAAGTATCTTTTCGTCTGTATTATTTAGCAAAATGTTATAGAAAAATAATTTAAGATGGCAATGATTTCAATTGCGTAGGTATACACCCAAGTACATGTACTCGGAGAAAACATATCCAAATTATTTATCAGGTACAGGGTACGTTATGAGTATGGGTGTGGCATCTAAGTTATATCAAGCAGCGTTGGTAACACCGTTGCTACACTTGGAAGACGTTTATGTCACGGGTTTATGCGCGAAACGCGCGAAAATCCGACCCATGAACCATCCTGCATTCAGTTATTCACCTCGTAAATTAGATCCCTGCGTTCTTAGGAATGCGATTACTACGCATAAGATTAATGCGTCCAATATGTATGTGATTTGGGTAAAAATGAACAACACGAATGTTTCGTGCAGCAATCGTACTCGTATTGATAGAAAACCGATCACGTTGAGCAGAAGCGGTAGGAATGCTGGCTATTATGTCTTTAAAAGAAAAACTATAAACAAGTGCGTTTAAATGTACTTTTTATAACGTTGATTCCTTATATTATAAGACTAATTTTTTATAGCTTTTTTCTAAGCGCAAGTGGAATCGAATAGATGAGAAGAAAGATGAGGTATGAAAACTTCAAGGAAGTTCTGATTCCTTATGGAACTAATTATTTATTTATAAATTTATTTGCAAACATCGAAATATTGTTTTCTATCATTTATACAATTTATTTTGTTTTTATTTGTATAAATTTTGTTATAAAAAATTTAAGCAAAAATTTAATCGATGAATTTCGCAAATCTTCGATTCTATTAGGCTGTGTCCAATTTCCATTGTTAGTTTACGTTTAATATTAAGTTTTTAAATTTTATAAGACTATAGCCAATTTGCACCGATAGTTTAATTAAATATTGATTAATGGTTCAATGTCTTTTTACGAATTATAATTTCATAAATGATAAACGGAAACAAGATTTCATTGATTAGTATACGTTGATATTATCTAATATCGGTGCAATTGGTACAATACGTGGAGTGACCGTGACAAACGACACACCGAAGGTTTTGTATATTTTTCTATTTATACCAAAGTAGTATTTAAGGGTACACTGTCAATTAGATCTTTTACATTATTTACATTATCTTTTTTCGCCTCTTTTATGTAAAAGGAAGTAAGAGGAAGAAGAGTATTATTGCGTCATGGACAGTTTTTCCGAATTAGACTTCTTGATTGACATTTCCTAATGACAATTATTTATATACAGTGAGAAAAGTATTTGTACAAGGAAATTTTGTATTAAAAGTCTTATTTGTAGAAAATAAACATTAATTAACAATTTTATATGAATACATTACATTCTTACATTAACAAACGGTCTTCGCATACATTCTTGATTTTTGAAGCTAAATTTCTCGCCTGTACGAATACTTTTTGAGCATTCACACTATACAATTTTTAATTTTCGCTTATTTTTCAGATGATATATTTTCTATAATTGATACACATCTTTTTTTTATATATAATTTTAAGAAACACAGTCTATTTCATTTTTTAAAAATAAATTGTTAATTACATAGCAAGAAATGATCAATTAAACGTCGAATCGACGTCAAATTGATATTGAAATCATCATATCGATATTGATTCAATAAATATTTTTTAAAAAAACTTTATTTTTAAAAAGTAAATATTATCCAGCAAGAAATGATTCAACATTAATTCGATGACTCATTTTTCGATGGATAAGATTTATTTTTTTAAAATGAAGTTTTTTTAAAAAATATTTTCTCTGTACGAATACTTTTTGCACTCACTGTATGTAATATAGAAAATTTTCTGCGCGATACGATTTCGTTAATATTATAAGCTGAATATTCTATAACTGAATATCTTGTGATCGAAGGTCACGTGGAAGCTATTTACAAAACTTCTCCTTATTTTAATACAAATATAATACTGCTTCCATATACTCATGCGAAACTATTTATATAGGAATGATATTATAATATTATTAATCTATTTCAAAATTTCCTAAATAGCCTTGTTTCCTAAGCACATATAATATAAAATAAATATGAAAAAATTGCTTCCTTAATTTAGTAACATAAGATCTGATATAGATATTGTTTTCTATTTGAACAAAAATAGTGACTTAAAAATGGCTTGTGCTAATAACATAATCTTAAGTTTCTTGTTATCGTAAATAAAATTGTTATTTTAAATTCGTTGGTATTTCAATTAATAATAATAGAACAATTATAAATTATAACATAGAAAAATATTATTTTGATTATATTTTAGTTCGCTTTATATTTTTATTTCAGATAAAAAGTTGAAAGAATATAATTATACTTTCAAATAAAGTTATTAATTTTGCAAAAGCATAGTATATTTATTGTGTATATTTTTAGGACATTAAGACTTTGTTAAAAATGATATTTCTTCAAAACATTTTATAATCATGTTCTCTTCTGTGTTCTTAAAAAATTAATGTACAAGATTCAAAACAACTTTATGTAATTTTAGTCTTATCTAATTTCATATTGATAAAATTTTTTTCATTCTATGAATATAAATAAATATGTTTTGCACGTACATTTTGAAGATATAAAAACAAACTTTTTTTCCTCTAAAATTTTAACATCGATTATTCTCTATATTCAAATTGAAATATTTTATGCGTGTACTTTTTAACACTATTTCCTATTTTAGAATAAAATATGTATTATATATATTTATGTATGTGACAATTTATATATTTATTGCAACAGATTCTTTTTCAAAAGAGAATTTAGATATATATAAATTATACTTTTCATTTAACTTCAGCAAGTATATAACAAAGTGTTTATCGTAAGTTAACTGAACGAACATTAAAAGATGTAACATGATAATTTTGTTCTTTCTTAAATAAATAAATGCTAGCATTTTATAATTTCCAAACATTATAATCATGGATAACAAGTTGCAATCCATAATACAATCGATGTTAATCATTAAATAAAAATTCATTTATTAAAATCGCATTGTAATTAGAACAAAAAAAAATATATATATAATGTACTTGATAAAAGATAAATAGATCATTAAGATAGATATTAAGATAGATATTAAGAGCTTGATAACATAGCCTAATACTTGTTAGAATCTTCGATCTAAATTTTAATAGGAATTTATTATAATTTAGTATAAATATAATTCGAAATTTGTAATACACCGCGTATATCATTTTATGTCACATATCAGAATGATTAAGAAACTGAGCAAGAAGCGATAGCAAAGAAGTTGCTAATAGTAAAACCGTTGTATGCTTCAAAATTGATATATTCTTTAATCCATGACGACAAAACGTTAGTAACTTAAAGTGAAGATAATTGAAATAAATTCTATGGAATACCCTAGTGGCCTTAGAAAATTAATTTTATTTTACAAGAAATAGATTTGACGCTAAATTTGTTATCACTAGTTTTTGCTAAACCATTATAATACTCGGTGCTATCTGAATGTGAGTTTTGGTGAGCTGTAATAAAATTGATATAAATTTGCAAAAAATACATTAACCGAATGTAATACAATGTATCATCATTTTAGAACTTCTATTATTCTTTACAAGGAATATAAGTCAACCGCGAGAGATACACCTCTCAGATAATAAAGTGTCTAAAATCGGGTAATAAGATATTTTTTTGCGTCTAAAAAACGATTTAAAGACATCTTGTATTACAATTTTAGACTTTGTATTGATTCGGCTCTTCTCTTTCGAGATTCATAAATTTTGATGATCGTATATATAGAAAAAATTAGATACATCATTTTATATTATGCTATAGTATTAATATGTTTACATCTCTGCGAAAGCGTTTCTAATCGCCTTTAGAAAAGAACATCGATTTGTACATTCGTCTAAACGTATGTACATACAACAGGAATTGTGTATAAGATAAATGTAAATATTGTTATGTTGCATTTCGAATAAAAAAAAAAACAAAAAACTGATGCAAATATTATTTATTAAAAATACATATATCGAATAAATGTTTTATATATAAAAAAAATGTTTTATATATAAAAATATAAAACAAATATATTACAGGCATTGTATTTCTTTTACTTACATAGGAACTTTCCTTATATTGATCTTAACAATATAATTTAATGAGTTGCATATTAACTAACATTTGTAATTAGATATGACATACTATCGCGAATATATTTATAACGATTTAGGCTGTGTTCCAAATTTGCTACCAGGATTGAAAATTTATAATTTAAATTACATGCATATAGGTTTTGAATACTGGCAATTTTGGATCACAATCTTAAGATGAAAAATAATTGTGAAACGAATTATTTTATTAACCTTTATCTCAACTTACAACTATTATATATAATCGATTTTGTTTAAAAACTTTAATACAGTTAATTTTCCTGAGATTAGAGTGAAATGAGTGAATTTACAGAATGTAATCAATATTTGGAAACACAGCGGTATCTAATAAATATTTACAGCAATGATAAAGCTTTACATCGCGTAGGATCATAATGTAACTCATACATATCTATGAAATATTGTTCATTATTGAAGAGATAATCATAGCTAATAATCACAATCATTAATTATTATTTATTATAATAATCATTTATTTTTAATTGCATATTTTAATATTTATGGAATTTTTATATCCATAAATTAATTATGAAATTTATGGAATTATAAAATTCATAAATTAAATTTATATAAGTAAATAAGCTAAAAATATTTGAACTTTTTGAAAATAATTACATTTTGATAAATTTTTGTTGAAAAAAATGTATATATTCAGCATATGATCATATATAAAATAGAAGATTAAAAATAGAGCACAAAAATATAAAACGAGATCAATTAAGTTTTTATTAAAATACAAATCATATCAATAATGAGCAAATAATTCGATAAATGAGTATTAAATAATACATACATATTTTTCTATCAGTATGTGTAATTTCAAACCATTAAAAATTTTTTAGCACAGTGGAATTACATTTTATGCATCATTTTTGTAATTTATATCATACAAATATCGTGAAAATATAAAAGCAGAAACATATAACAAATTATTGAAGTATTCGACTACATGCATATTTTTATACATTTTATTTTTTGTACTTTTCTTGTTTTTTAAACAGGCATAAAATGAGTTTGAGTGGGTACTACGAATTTCTCTTTAACGGTATTTGCATTTAATTTGTCAGTACTGTTAATTTGAAATATTGTTAATTTTTGTATTGCAGAATTTAATTCATTTGCCAAAGCTTCACTTCTCAGTTTTTCGGTAATTTTCATAATTCCTTTCGAAGGGGGGCGCAGATTTTTCTTTGTTCGTTTTTTTTTTAAGCTTAGGCAGCAGAAGTCGCGATTTATTTCTTCTATCGGATTGTTATATTTATTTTTAGCTTTTTCCTTCTCGAACCTCCTATCTATAGCTGCCTTGCTCGGAAATATTGCCTTGCAATCAAAATTCTCTCTTTCCTTGTCCGTCTTCGCAAAATCAACTATTGTCCAATCTTTTTTAAATGATTCGTCTGCCTTATTGTCTATCACAGTTCCCATCTTCAAACTTTGGTCTACTTTATGCTCAATACTATCTTTTCCCTTTTCACGTTTTCTTTCTAATCCTAATAATTTCACATCTGGTAAAATATCAGATGTCTGATTTATTGATTTTTTTTTAATCTTAAGTAATTTGTCTTGTATCAGCCTTGTATGTTGATAGAACAAGCCTCCTGTTATTTTTACTTCATTTGTACTACCGAGAGCATCAGAAGTCATTGAATTATATAAGGACATCATTTTTTTTAAATTCTTTTTTTCCTTTTTATATTTATCTTTCTTCATCCTTTGAGCTCCTACCTTTTTCTTCATATCCAAATAGTTCTGCATTCGATTATTATTCTTTTCTAAATGACGAATCACGCTCTTTTCTAAAATACTTAGTTCCATTAATGTACTTATTTTGTCTTTATGTTTTGCAATTTCTTTGGATAAAACTATATTTTTTATGTCTGATTTTTCATTCCTGTCTATGTCATTCTTTTGATGGACTATAGAATCACTTAACAGAGGGTTAGTATTTAAATATAATGCATCTTGCTGTGCAATTCTTTCCAGTTTTCCATTTGATGTAAAATTGTGTTCCGTTGGTTCATGCATAGTTTTGTTATAACATAATTCAGTCTTCTGATTGATCATACATTCAGATGTTTCCTCACATAAGTTCTCTGAATCTGAACATGTTCCAAATATTATTTGCTCAGATGGACTCAAAGTCTCAGATTTTTTCCAGAAGTTTTGATAGTTAGTTTTGGAAGTAGCCGTATCAGTGACAGACATCAAAGAAAACTTTCCATCATTGCATTCGGTTTTAATGTTTTTAACGGTGTCATTATACACTCTGTCCCACCAAGGTTTGTGTTCATCGTATCCTATACCTGTCTTATTCTGATTTGTCATGAGTTTTACAGGTATTCTTATGCCATTTTCATTTTTACCAAGTCCTTTGCCTGTATTAAAAAAAAGATAAGTCTTTAGTTTCATTTCGTTCTTTGTCTCATATTGTCGTCGTTTGGTTAGCGTGTTTCATAAAGGAGAATACAAAAAAAGAGGGGATGAAATCGGGACTGAGCCATAAAATAAACGAAGGCTGTGTTTCGATATTTACTGCCAGTACTGGCAATTTAAAAATATATGTCAATTCCATTTCGAAAAAATTTTCACCGCTTGTAAATATGTTCAATTGCAAATTAGCTTGCACTATTCCGAATACATTGACAAGTTTAATAAAAAAGAGTAAGGATCGATTGTCTATTAGTCTCCTTTTATTATTGTATTGCAGTACATCTTATGAGTTACATTGTTTTTGGTTAAGACACTACATAGTCTTTGGCACATCTTTTCTTCTCATTACAATTGCAATATGAGATTCTATAAGCGACTGTTACTTTTTCTTCTTTTAATGAGATTTAAACTCTTCACTACTTATATAATATTTTTATAATTTTATTTCACAGTTGCATAATTGTGTGAACTCAGATTGTTACGGTTACTTTTTGCGGTTTCTTTATAGATCTTTTTACGTTAACGTCTACATTGCTGGAATGCTTCCAAGGTTTTTATGACTACTATGAGAATTTTATCTTTAGACTTAACATTATAAATCTAAAACAAGACAACTTTTGCAAGAATACACGCAAAATGCCTTTACTATTCGTGGGTTTTTGAATTATTAAGAAGTAATAAAAGATCGTTGCAAGCATTTCAGTAATTAACACGTATATATATTATATTATATTAACACGTATTAAGTGATAGATAATTTATATAGTTTCCCTTTGTAACATTTATAAAAATTTTTTTGTTAACTTTGAGAATGACCCGATCGGTATTGAAACGTTTGTTTTGTTGTATTTTCATATTTAAAATTTTATAATATATTTTCTTTGTTTTGTATCTATGCCTCGTAGCCCTTCAAAAATTTTGATTTTATTTATTATTAATGAGCGTTATTATCTTTTATAATTCTAAAGATATACATTATGTGCACTGTAGATCTTCAGTATTGGCAGTAACTATCGATAATTTCAAAGTTACGTATTGTAAATTGTTTGTTCGTCAATTTCGTCACGTGACGGAAAATGCGTCGCATTGTTCGGACCGAAAAATTATTATTAATAGTTCTTACCTTTCACCCAACCGTACTTCAACATTTCTTGCATCGGAAAATTTGCCATTTCTATATTCGTACAAAATTTTGTGTAATTCTACATAACATACAGTTTATTATACTACGTTATATATTACGCATTAACGAAACACGTGTCTTGTACGCTTCTTCTGATTCAGTGTAGCACTCGTCTTCGTTGAAACAGCGACAATTTCGGTGGGAAATATGGGAATTACTTCGTATATATAGTAGGCTTTTATCTTATAGTCTCATACCAGAGAGAAACCTTAGAGAGGGCATGACGGCCCAAAATCTATAATCCGCAAAATACTACTAGTGTCCCTAGAATACAGAGTCCGGCGATCATGTAGACCTCTTTTTATTGAATTAGAAGTAAGGCACCTTAAAAATGGCGGAACCAATCATCACACAAGTCTTTCACAATTTTTGAAGAAAATAATGCATTGTATTACCTGTCTTTCATGAATGGAAACATTTTATTACGCAACAGTATGGTATTGTTATCCTGTAAATACAGAGAATTATTGTCATAGTACTTTTATACTCATAAATACTATTCATATTTTTACTATTCTACTTTCTATGTTTATAACACATTAATTTTTTGTGAAAACGTGAATACGTTTTATGCACAATTTCTGTATTTTGTATTTATTATAATCCTATAGTATTTTGGTTTATTTACTTATGCTTTTTATAACCTCTATACCGGACTTATTCTCTCTCTCTCTCTCTCTCTCTCTCTCTCTCTCTC